AACTACTTGTACGATTTGATAAATTATTTTTGTGTTCCTTGAACTCCTTGACGAAAACGACTATCTAACATATCTTGCTACTATCAGTACCAGAGCGGGTGAAAGCGCGCGGAAGTATCTAGTTTGTAATAAGTAGAAGATTGCTGAGCGCTCAGTCGCTGGAGGTAATGAACAATACACTGTTGAAAGTAAACTGCTACAAAAGGTTAGGTATACCTATGTATCTATGTCTAAAAGTGGCGATCCTGTAAAGCTCCCGCCTCCTGTGTCAGTCGCGCCTTCTTTCGACACTAAGTTTGATTGATGCGGACTTGTCCTCCACTATCTACGCGTGATGACCGCTCCAGACATTTTTTATGATTTACGTTAGTATAATTTTGGCTAGAGTATTATGGAGCGTGATTTATTGGAGCGCCGATCTCGATTGTCTGCAACCGCCCGCCCGTGGGAAATTAAATGAAACGCTGAAGTTGAAGTGTTTAGTTTAGGTACTTACTGATATTTTAAGTTTAGGGGAGACTGGAGTCAATTGAAACGATTTTGAAAAAAGCGGCTGGTGTGGCTGTATTTTGAAAGAAAGAAAGAAAAATAATTTTGCATTTTATCTTTTCGGTGATGGATTATAATTTTATTATTATAACCTAAACTATCTGGGTATATGGTTCAATAGTTATTTTTATTTCAAATGCACTCATAAACAAGATAAGCAATTGAGTAAACCTCCAAAAATATTTCAAATGACCCAAAATTTAAAATTGCAATACCTACGAGCAGGCCGCCCATTACATACTCTAGGAGTGTGAGTGGTCTCTGGCAATATGGACGTAACACTGTATGATAGATAATTAATTGTTTCGCCAAATATAGCAGCTCAGACATAGGACCCATTAGTTTTAGTCAAATTTTCGCGTTGCTTGGCAACTGGGCTTCTCCCAGTTGTGCAGTGTTCTTTGTGCCTTTAGGTTTAATTCATTATATCCCCTGCAGTTATTCGCCGAGGGAAGTGGAAAATATATTTTTTTCTTCTCCTCTATTCTCTGATATTTTCTGATTCATTTCTTTGCGGGAACCAAGACAGTTATTCATGTCCATGGATCGCTCCGGGTTCAGTGTTCCGATTTTTTTTAGAGTAGAATCTAGTTTAAAATAAAGTAGGCACTATTATAAAACTCATTAGAAAAGCCAGTACAGAATTAGCAAAAAGGTTTACTTACTTTTTTTTTTAATAAATTAGTAGAAAGTAAGTTATTTTGTTTGGAAAATAAGCAAAATCGCTCAAATTCCTGTGCCCACAGCATGCAACTAAGACATAGTAGCCAGTCATCACATGCCCTGCTGCGGCCATAACAACTTTCCATGCAGCTACAACTTCGTTATCCAAAATCGTCAAGCAATAAACTAATTATCAGTATCTATTATTATTATAAATAGGTATTAAGTTTTTTTCTTCTCTGGATTAGTTTTCACGTTAGTTCTTTTCGATTCTTTTTGCCCGTTCCTTCTTGTCTGTTACTAGACTTTTAAAACAAAAATGTAATGTTAATAAAGTTAAAAGCATGTTACAATTGACCCCGCACCCTCTCAATAAATATATCAGCACATCGCTGCAAGCAAGCTAAAAATTGCAGATAAAAGCAACAAAAACATGACTCATGTACACGTGTAGGTTATCGTTAGTATGAGTACTGAGTACTGAAGAGGAATCAATATTTATAAAGTTATTTTCGAGTTATTTTATTTGTTTCTATTGACCCACGAACTTTTCCAAACTAAAGCAGTTGGCTCAGAATTTATCATTCCATATTACTGAAGCACTATCCAGGACAACGTTAGTAAAAATACAGATAAAAATAAAGATTTGTAGCAATAAGAGTCAAAAGGCTAGCACAAGATGTAGTTTTTCGTGAATAATATAATTCTAAGTGTCTGTGATTTAAAAAGTGTACCTTGTGTGTACCAATGACTTGGATTTGTTTTACATTTTTCTGATTGTTGGAATCGCAACCACAACATCACCTGGTGCCACTTGAACGTCGATTTCAGGGTCACCCATAATTAAGACCTAAGAGAAGGTTACTTATGTAGGTTCTTACGTACATACAGTGCGTGGCACAGACTTAGTAAACTATACATAGTTCACTTCTAGGTAGTTAGATACTTACTTATGATTAATATATTTAAAATTGAGATGGACTTCGTGTTAAGATGTGGCGAAGCTACATGACTAATGATACTGGAGTCCGGCCGTGAGGCCACAACTTTATGGGATCGAGGCCACCTCGTAATTAATTGATGCTAGACAGTCAGACACAGCAATTTTTTTATGTGAAATGTTTGCGATTTTCTGTTTTGGTACCAGTTATGAGGTGGTTTTCATTTTGTAGAAATTACACTACCTACAAGAGTACAACAATAAATATACTTATAAGTATAAAATATTATTATATAAGAACGACTCCTAGACAAACCAAGACTTAGAATTAATAAATATTAGCAATTTTTTAATTATTTTTATAAATTACAAACGTCAATATAAGCCATTCTGGTTTCATTTATGCGCAAACCACAGTAAAACTCTTCGTTCTTCTCACTCTTCTCCAATGTCCCACTCATCGCACTGACTTCTTACATTCATCCTTTTTCGTGCAGGTAATTTTGCTGTGGAATGCGCTCCCCCTGGAGGTCAGGATGGTCTCAACTCGACTAACTTTTAAGCACAAAATACGTGAGCTTTTCTTAAAGAGGTTGGCTGAATCATCGCGCTAACTATCCACTGTGTACTAGTAAGCAAGTATATATTTATATATTATGTACCTATGTATGTATGTAGGCATATTGTACTCATGTGTAGGTATGTATTATAATTAAATTTATATATGTATGTATATCTCCGAAATATATTAGTTTATCTATCATTGTTAAATAAAATCACTGCTTGCCTCTTGCACCTACCATTTACTCTTCTCTGCATCACCCAAAGGTCAGACTGGTAGAAAATGCCTGCGGCATTAAGTCCACCTTTTTGTACATTTTGTGCATGAAGCATATTAAATAAATAAATAAAAAAAATGCCACTACTGGCGCAGAACTTTTTTTTAGTACAGTCACTTAAAGTCAAGTACCTAAACATTTATTAAGAATACTTGATTTGTAATATAAATTATAAACTAGACATTTAAAAAAACCGACTCCAGCCCTCTCTTTTGAAGTCGGTTACATTACTAATGACTTTTTTTCCAAATTAAAGCAGTATTGTACCGACAACATTAAAAAAACTGGCACAGGTTGTATTTTGTCGTGGATAAAATATAATCTCCTATACATGGGACTCATAACATAAATAGTGAACAGTGGGTAATACATTGTACAGTGGCATTAAATGCCGTAATGTGCACCTCTGCCTACCCCTTCGGGGATAAAAGGCGTGATGTTATGTTTTGTTTTTTTTTATGTAAAATATAAGTCAGTGATTTCAAAAGTGCATAACTTTTAATTTTCTTATATTTATCTGATAACTATTGGAACCTGAGGCTGTTCAACATTGATCGAACAACGAAATAAAAAATGTTAAATGATTATACATTGATTAATACCTCTGTAGATATTAACAAAGCATCAAATATTATCTAATGTAATATTGTCTGTAACTTCGTATCAGAGATTAGAATTTTATTAAACTAGGTACCTTTTTTTTTTTTTAAGTGGGGAAGATCATCGAATGACTGTTCCAGCCTGGGTGAGGCGGAAGGGAGTATCAGACTCTTACTGACTAAAAACCACCCCGTTCCTTCTCCTGCACGTCGAGCCGGAGCCCCGGTTACCCGTTAGGTTCTCCGCGACTCCGAATCGGCATCGGCCCTATTGGGCCCCATCTGTGGTGGTTTGATGGCTCTTTGAGGCGCGCGCGGAACGCGACGCGCCGTACGCTCGGGTCTGTTTCTGGTCGGACGGGGAGCCACCCATGCTCGCCGTCCGCAGGCCCGCGCTTACGGTGGCCGGAGATCGTCCCGCGATCCCCGACGCCCGGTGTATCCTTCGCGATGGCTGGGTTGCGAGGAGGCAGCGCTTCGCTGCCTCACGCGTCCCGCCTCCTCCTTAGCTAGCATGACTGCTTCGCAAAAGGAGGAGACGGCATCCCAGTCCCCCTCGCTCCGCATCATGGCCTGCACTAGGCCCGGACGCGAGAGGTCGCCATCGCCGATCACTTCCCTGAGGGCACGGCGGTGCTCAGCCCACGCAGGGTAATCCGCAACAGTGTGTTCCACCGTGTCCTCAGGGTGGTCCTCGCAGTGATGACACCCGGGCGTTTCCTCCCGCCCCATCAGACACAGGTACCTCCCGAAACTTCCATGTCCGGTGAGGACCTGCGTCAGGCGGTAGGTGAGGACGCCGTAGCGTCTCTCAAGCCACTCCTCAAAGAGGGGACTTACCGCTGCAATGGCAGCGAGCCCAGCCCTCGGTTGCGACAGTCGTTGCTGCCATTCCGCCATGAGATCGCGCCGGAGCTCATCCCGCCACGCACTTATCTGGCGCGGCAGAAACTAGGTATCTACGTGATTAAATTGAAATATTTGCATTGAACATTCCAATCAGAACTTATTATACTTTCCTAGGCATTTCTTGTTTTTTGTGGCTATATATCGAATAGTGTAATCTAACTAAAGATCATACAAAACAATATCTATGAATTGGGCCTAAGTACCTATTCCTAAGTACTTACCTACCTATCTATGAAAAATAAATGTTTGTAAAACCACACCCGATTAACTATCTATACATATCTAGATAGATATCTATCAATATAAATAAACTATGTTTCCGTTCGTTAGTCTCGCTGTAACTCCAGAGAACGGCTGAACCGATTTGGTTAATTTTGGTCTTGAAATGTTCGTGTCTCAATAGAATGTAGGCGGTAAGAAGTTGTTTGCCGGTGTAGCCAGTTGTAATTAAAGATAAGCTTTAAAATTATACATTATATGGACAATTGTTTAATTTCACGGTTACGCAATACCAACGTAGGGTTCAAGGTTTTTGTGTCGCTTGGTTACGTCCTCAATAGCCTTTTGTGCTCTATTCAGGATATCTCTGGTGTAGTGAGGTTCTAAATCTCTGAAGCAATCTCCTCTATACATTGGTGTCCATTCTGCAACGGGATGTTAGATATCATAAATTATATTTATATCATTTATACCTGGAGGTAATTACAGACATAACATTTATTTATTGCGAACGATCGTGCTATTGTGCTTCCCCAAAGACGTTCGCAATAAATAAATGATGAACCTTTGGCAGCCATCAGAAAACAGTTGAAAGCAAATCCTCCGCTAAGTCCCGCCACCGGTGACGATACGGATATTTATCTGTATATATTAGTTTTACAAACAACAAATACCGTTGTGGAACAAATACCGTTTTTTGTGAGTGTTTTTGCAAAAGGTAAAACATGCAAAGGGTGAGGCCAGTTGATCACCTTGCCTGGTCGGAGGATCCTGCTTCTCATCCATCATCCTTTTGATCTTGGAGAACGTAACTCTCTGTTCCCTAAAGTGTTTTTAAGGAAAACCCTTAAACGCTTAGGAAGTGTGATATTCTTACTTGGTCTCCGGTGAACCTCACTGTGACCGCTACTGGTGCTAAATATTAAATTTTAATATTGAGAGCAATAGTGCACTAGCGGCTAGGCCGCATTAGCAGAATTAGGCCTTCGGTTACCACACGACGTGAAACACGTCGGTTCACGTCGGTTGTCTGTGAGGCCGTGGTATCACTCCGGTCGAGCCGGCCCATTTATGCCGAAGCATCGCTCTCCCACACCAAAAACTGTACCGCACAATCCAATTGATCTCAGTGGCCGCAGCGGCCAGCGACTGAACACGAGCCCCAAATGAGTGGCTCCAATCTCGCTGGCCACTGCGGCCTGGAGCGGCCTGGAGAGGCCGCATGCTGCGTGTGGCCAAGTACGAGAATTCTATAGCGATTTTATATTAATGCATCTATCTCGATGGCCGCCGGGACCTAGCCGCTAGTGCGCTTTTGCTCTTACTGTCTTTATTACTGCAGTCGAAACTCTTCATAGCGCAAAAACTCTCAAAATTTTTTATATCACCTCTGTCGTTCCTTGCACAAAGTTTCCCGTATCTATAACAAAATATTTTTTTATAATAATAGTTTAAAAGGTAAAAAGTAAACACTAAATAGGCTAAAAAGATTGGGATTTATAAGTCATATAAAAACAAGTTTGGTAAAATTAACATCATCAACAACATGGTCGTGAAATTAACCCAATGCACCACTCGCACTCGGCCAGGGGTTTCATTTCCATATCTTGTGTTGCAATGTAGTGACAGTAGAGTAGAATTACCTACTACATTGGTTATTACACCTAATTTTACTTCGAGTGTAGAGCCGACGACTGCACATTTAATACAGACCGGGCCGCAGTGCTCGCCGGTAAACTTGAGCTTATCAAATCACCTGCTAAGTATGGAGATTATGGCAAACACTTTTTTATCGGATACGCCGCCCAGCGAGGATATGAATCACCTGATGATAAGCAATCAGCGCTACCCATGGACCACTGGAACACCAGACGAGTTACTAACTGCGTTACCGGGTTAGAGATTTGCGGATTGGGATTTGGAGATTGGAAATGTAAAGATAGGGGATGGGAGAATAGGGTCTACAGTAAGCTCGCCCACACGGTGAAACACAACGGAAGGATCGTATCATGCCGGTTCTGTGAGGCCGTGCTAGCAGTTCGGTCGAGACAGCCCGTTTGTGTCGAAGCATATGTATAGGTCTTATGTATGTTCATGAGCCCCATAAACCTTCAGTGAAACGTCGCGGACGGTTGATCTGACTCACGGTTTGAGAGTTCTATTAATTCAATAAAAATACAATTATACAAACTGGATGAATATCAGGGAACATCGAACCCCGCAAATATATTTCGGCCCTGTTTTATTTAGGACAAATTTATCAAACACCCAGCCTCCATCGGCCCAGTAGGGTTCATGTCCGTAGTTGGGGTCGTAGCTGGCGTTCCGCGGTGGGCCCGCTTCCTGGCTTGGCAACAAGTCCATAATGTCCGTCGTTGTACCCACGTCCGCAGTAGTGTTGCTGCCAGCTCTGAAGAAAAGAGATTACCTTTATATGGGAGTCAGGTCATCCGCGCCTCTATTAATGTTTCAATGTTTTTCTATCCAATGTGATACCCACTGGCCAGGAGCAAGTATTAGTATTTGCAAAGAGTCCGATATTAATCGCCAAAACAATAAGAAGTATTATTACAAAAATATTGACATTAAATCACTATAAAAAGAAATTAATTAATACGAAAGAAAGAAAGAAAAAAGAAAGAAAGAAAGAAGGAAGAGAAGAAAGAAAGAAAGAAGGAAAGAAAGAAAGAAAGAAAGAAAGAAAAAAAGAAAGAAAGAAAGAAAGAAAAATTGTTTATGTGTACACTGTCACAAAGTACAATAACCCACAAAACATAACATCACGCCTTTTATCCCCGAAGGGGTAGGCAGAGGTGTACGTACATTATGCCACTGTACAATGTAACACCCACTTTTCACTATTTATGTTATGAGTCCCATGTAATAGGGGGTGAGCCTATTGCCATATACCGGGCACAATTCCAGACTCCGTGCTACTACTGAGAATTTTTTGAAAAATCCAGTAATACTTTGCCCGACCCGGGAATCGAACCCGGGACCCCTTGCCCGGCAGTCGCACTTGCGACCACTCGGCCAATGAGGCAGTCTAACACAAAAATAATTTTTAAAACAGTGATGACGGCGCATAAAGTCTAGAGCTCAGCTTAAATGCCGTGACCCGAGTGCGCTCGAGTCGCGGCGCTGATTTTCAGCACTTGCCCATGACTATGATAATGTAATACATATAATAATAATAATAGAATAACAATAAAGTATATATATATACAATGATATTATTCTAACATTTTGCAAAATAAAAATAACAAATGTGATGGAAAAACTACAGAACTTCCTACTTAATACAAAGCCACGCTGGACCTTTTCATAATGTACAGAAAAAAGTGTTAAAAATTTGAATACCTATAAGTACAGAAAGTAAAGATGAAACTGCGCTCACAACGACTGGCTGTGGTAGCTAGCTACACTATAACAGGTTAATATATTAATGTATAGCTAGCTCTACTACGGCCTTAAAGCCTTAAAATATTTTTGTACACATTGTATGTATGTCTAAATAAATAAATGTTTCGAACTATAAAAAAATGTAAACGCTTAAACCTAACATGAAAATACTGTAGATTTTTTTGAGGAGGGAAAATTGTCCAATGGCTTGAGAGAGTGACAGACTCTTACTGACTAAAAACCACCCCTTTCCTACTCGTGCTCTTCGAGCCGGCAACCTGTTAAGTCCTCCGCCGCTTCGTGTGAAAATACCATGGTGCAGGAGAGTGTTGAACTCACCTGCGCTGCGCACACGCCACCCGCTGCCAGAACCTGTACTTCCCTATGCTTTTCCACGTGCTTCCCACACATATGTTAGGTTTCTTAGCCTTTGATTTATGCACGTTCTTCGTTTTGTGTCTGCCGATTCTTGCGCTCAATGGCATGATGTCCACTAAAAATTGAAGACTAGGTATATGTTTATAACGGAAGTTAGGAAGTTCTAGTCTAGAGGAATATAAAGAAGTTCTGAAAGAGCCTAAACTGACTCTCATAACAGTCGCTTGAATTTGCTATAATCCAGGTTCTAACATAAAATGGTACAAAATAATTAGAATGTTTTATTCTTCAAGCAGTTGTTTAGTCTCTTTACATACTTACAGGCACTGTAATGTTTCAAGGAAATCACGGATTTGCACCATTCAAATACCTCTGCATTATTAACAAATTAAAAAGGTTCAAACTTACAAAGTATCAGTAACATAATAGAGACGATGTACATTTTAGGGAGCATTACAATAGTTTGAACGTATTTCGGTTACGTTAATGCACCTATTGCAATATATGAACCAATGTTGTCAAGATATAGTTTATGTGCGCCGGAGAGCGGCCAGCGCAGCACCCAGCACACGACGCTCCGCGGCGATAACGTCCACGTACAATATCATTTCACGCGTGCGCATGTCTTAATCCTCTTTTATGTGGTGCTATGAAAAGAACCAAATCAGAAAAAAAATTGTACTTGTACTTCTATACATTTGCTTAAATGTGAATATGTGATAATTCAGGGAATTATTTTAAAAGTTGTACAGCGGGATGATAGCTTAACGCTAAAATACTACTGTACAGGACTACCTAATCTTAATGACTACAAGCTAACGTTATCTTACACTATCCTAGCCCTTATAATATCCTATCCTAGCTTTGCCTAGCGTATAATGCGTATAGGCTTGGTGCTCTGTGGTAGAAGAAGGGTAGTGAGTCAAAGTCGGAATCAACTAGTGACCGTTTTATTTCTTATTCTACATGATCTTATATACTAAACTTATCCTATGTACACACATACCACACTATGATTGTGTGCTATGCGTGTAATGTACCATCTCAGCGCTATATCCTTACGTGAGTACGTGATGTTTTCCTTAGTTGTATACTCCGGAATTAATATGTTTTTTCAGTACTTTATCACGTAGGGTTATCTCGCTGACATGGCATGTTCATGTGTGAACAAAAGTCATAAGGAACGAATGATAAATGAAATTCTTCTACGCACGGGTAATTTTGTGTAAAACAATTATTTTCTATTTAAATAACTTATGATAAGTAACTTATTTGTCTAAGTCCTTTAAATATAAAATAATTCCTTCCTTCTTCTTCTTCTTCTTAAGTCCTTTAAATATAATAAAACTAAACAGACGGCAAAGGGATACACCACTTACACGCACGAAGAGCTTCACCTTAAGTTCTTTAAATAGAAGAGCTGCGAAGTGGATGTTTTTGCCAGAGTCTATGTTTTTTTACATATTTGTTTCCTGTAAAGTGTCTTAAGGAGTGAGAATATTTATGGGCCGCCATCTTCCATGCTCCATCGTAGACCGCATCATCCTTCCCATTCATAAATGACGCGTTCTTGGTTAGAGCTGTTTTTGAGCCAGATTTTTGAGGCTTCTGAATAACTGTAACGACAGTCACTGAAGTTCGTATTAAAGTTGAAGGTGAATGTAGCGTGGCGAGTGTCTACCTTGTCAGCTAATACTTGAATTTCACGTTAATTAATAAAAATAATAGTAGGTATGTCTTTACCTACAATTGTTCTTTGAAAAAGATAATGAAACATTTTAAAAGAACTCGCAATCCCAAAGACTGGTCTTTGCATAATTTAATTATACAATGTCACGAGCGGCGACTTCATTCTGGATAAGAAATTATTGAATGGCAACAGGTAACTTGATTTACTAGGCCTCATTATGCACAACTCGAGGATCAATCGTTCGACGAATATCGAGCTCAGTGGTGTTCTATCTTTTGGGTTTGGTGAGGTCTATGTTCAGCATCGGATAGAAACGTCATTAAAACCATGGCTACAGAATAATATACCTTTTGTTATTTTCTACTTCGTGGTGACTAAGCTATTAAATTTGCCGTGCATTGTTAACTTTAATTTTAATGAAAACTTTCAGGCAACATACGCGATGGACTCTGGTACGTTTGCAATTCTGTTGGAGTTAATAAGTAAGTGAATTTTGTTATAATATTTAACAAAATTGATATTTTCAACTTGGTAACAAAAGTGTAGCGTAGATATACATTATGTTGGGCTCGCTGCCATTGCAGCGGTAAGTCCCCTCTTTGAGGAGTGGCTTGAGAGACGCTACGGCGTCCTCACCTACCGCCTGACGCAGGTCCTCACCGGACATGGAAGTTTCGGGAGGACCACCCTGAGGACACGGTGGAACACACTGTAGCGGAATGCCCTGCGTGGGCTGAGCACCGCCGTGCCCTCAGGGAAGTGATCGGCGATGGCGACCTCTCGCGTCCGGGCCTAGTACAGGCCATGATGCGGAGCGAGGGGGACTGGGATGCCGTCTCCTCCTTGTGCGAAGCAGTCATGCTAGCTAAGGAGGAGGCGGGACGCGTGAGGCAGCGAAGCGCTGCCTCTTCGCAACCCAGCCATCGCGAAGGACACACCGGGCGTCGGGGATCGTGAGACGATCTCCGGCCACCCTAAACGCGGGCCTGCGGACGGCGAGCATGGGTGGCTCCCCGTCCGACCAGAAACAGACCCGAGCGTACGGCGCGTCGCGTTCCGCCCGCACCTCAAAGAGTCATCAGACCACCACAGATGGGGCCAACAGGGCCGATGCCGATTCGGAGTCGCGGAGAACCTAACGGGTAACCGGGGCTCCGGCTCGACGTGCAGGAGAAGGAACGGGGTGGTTTTTAGTCAGTAAGAGTCTGACACTCCCTCCCGCCTCGCCCGGGCGGGAGCAGTAATTCGATGATTTTCCCCCCTTAAAAAAAAAGATATACATTATGTGTTATGTTAATGTAGGCACGTATATTCCTACGTCATGTTATATTAGTATCTCTTTAGATTAGGGGAAGGCTTATGTTAGAAAGAGAATCTTTTCTTAATGTTATGTAAAAAACATTACCACAAAATAGTTTTGATACTTCTTCTCCTTTAGCCTTTTTGATGTAAGCCTTCTTCAGTTTCTGCCATCTATTTCGATATTGAGCAATTTCCGTCAATTTTATGCCAGCTGTTTGTTTATCATCAAACCAAAGCATCTGAAGTCTTCTTTGCTGGCGATTTTCACCCCACGGCCTCCACTCCACAACGGATTTGAACCATAAACCCTGTTTGCGTGCAACGTGACCAGCCCACTCCCACTTAAGTTTCGCAATATACTGTGTGACGTTCTTGGCTTTACTCTGTTGTCTTAGCCACTGATTTCTATTACGATCTCTTAGTGTAACACCTACCAGCTTTCTTTCTACTACTCTTTGGGCAATTTAGTCTCGGCCCCGTATACATATAAGCACCGGTTTTCTATGAGAGCCTTTGTTTAACAGTAATGTTAATACAGTAACAGTACGGCCTTGAGTAGGCCGCCCAGGCCAATCTTATATGCCAATCAATTTTGTTCGTTTGTTGTCCTTTTCCATTCCTATCCCAGATAAACAAACATATTTAGTCACTCTTTCAATAATGGTGTCATTTACTTTGATAATTGCAGTGGTGTTGGAACAATTTCTCATAATCATCATCTTTCTAAACTATGAAACAACCATCACAATGATACTTGTAATGTACCAAAAGTACCTACTATTCGGGTACTACGGATCTATTTGGTCAATTCCGGACAGTCATAAATATTACGGACACGACGATACGACGGTACAATATGAACTGTACAAAATTCGTAATATGTATGTGTCCTATAGAGAACTTCCCTAGAAGAAATTCTTGTATTGCACATATCAAGGGCTCCAATTTTGATACACTGTCCCACATTATGTTTTTGTTACAGTGCTGTGGACTGCCATGCTACCTGAATGTGGAAGGTTAGCTACTAATAAAATTATTTATTTTAGTGTTTAAGGAATAAATAAAACAAAGCTTGGTGCCGTTGATAGTTGATATAAGTACTTAATAATCTGAACTCTGAACACCGTCCCCTGCTAGGCGAAGGGCGAAGCCCTCTTCTAAGATGGAACGGAATGATCACCACACTTGTTCAAGACGCTTTGGCAGTTTTAATCATGTTGAATGATGAATAAGATCATAGAAACCTGAAAGTTTCCACAAAGTAGTCGAGTCTCGTATATTTAAATACAACACAGGCGCCCTACAGTTACAGTTAGTTAACAGTTAGGAAGTTTGCCGGACCGCTAATGTTACTATGATGGCGACGCAAGCGACACGGCACGGTACACGGTGGGATTGATTGTTTCTCCATGTTCTCCATTACTGCCTATCCATCCAAAGGTTGTCTATAAGAGATCGATTTATTATATGACCGACCATTGTACTACTAACTTCTAAATTTTTATCAGCAATGTTTTTTATATGGAGAATTTTTTTATTCTATTCTATTGATACTGTTTTATCTATTCAGGGCGAACTCGACGGTACATCCTTTAATCGAAATGAAGAAGAAACGTTTTAGGTTTAAATACAATCCTCATAAAGGCTATGAGCCATACTGGGTCGGCGGTGAGAAAGTAATGTCCACCACCAGTCCGAAGCCGGGCACCACGACGACGGTAGCGCCTTTAATATGTGGTTACGACTGCAACTACATCTATCAGAGGTACTACTTACTGTATCTGTCGGTAAAGTTGGCTATAGTCTGTACATTGTAGTGTAGGTGCGTGCGGTTTGAGGACTGCTGCAACTGCACGGTTGGCGCAGTGGATGGGCTGCCGTGCAACGTGCCGCGGGTTCGATTCCAGCATGGAACAACTCTTGTTTCGGGTCTGGGTGTCATGTATATGTGAACTTGTATGTTTGTAAATGCACCCACGATGCAGGAGAAAATCCTAGTGTGGGGCAACGTTTTTAGAAATATGTCAAATAAGATAGTTTAGAAGACATAAGTATGAGATACTAGCTGACTCAGCAAACCTTTTATCGCCTCAGACATGTTTTTCACCTTTTAAACCTTTCCTGGACTTTCATAAATAATTCATTAATGGCAACGACTTCTTACCTGTCAGTGGGCGGGAATCTATAAGTACGTTTGACTAATAATAGTTATTATTTACCTTTTTAGTTTTAGATTTTCGAAGTCGGTTTTTTTAAACGCAGTTTTTGTTTTTTTGCTTTTTAGTATAATACAAGGCTATATACATCCAATATATGGGGCATTGGCGTAAAGTTCATTACAAATTATTTAAGCTCAAACACCAGGTAAACGGTTAATAGTAGCTATAAGGAGTTCCCTGAGCTATCGTACCACTTCATCATCAAGCCCCTAATGACAATCATACCCCATTTAGGTATAAAGTTCTCATCAAAACATAAAGCCCAAACCCCAAGTAACTACACAGCGCGATTAAAGTAATATTGAAACTAGCGCATTATTTTACACTAGAAGTTGTGGGGATGCATAGGTACATTAATATCGCCTATATATGAAATGATTTAATCAATGTACAACAGTTGGCACTAAGACAGCGCACATTTCATTTCTCTCTCAACACATGAAACCCAACACTGGTGACCGCGACCACTCATAATTCCCATTAACGTAGGCGACACATAACGCTCCTATACGACGCTCATCTACTACCACGTGTGCACTAAGTTCAAGAAAATTGAATACACAATTCGGACAAACGCCACAGCAGCCAACTCCAGCGTCTATAATACCGAAAACAGAAGAATCAACCGCCATAATTTCGTCGTTAACTGTCGCAAGTAAGATCCCGGAATTTTGACCAGAAAATCCCCGATTATGGTTTTTACAAGTCGAAGCCACATTAGCACCTCAGAAAACCACGGACACCAACAAATACTTCATAGTTGTGGCAAAACTCAGTAAGGAGGTAATCCAGCAAGTTGCGGACATAGTTGCGAGCCCCCCGGAATGCAACAAATCTGAAGCCCTCAAAAATCGACTATTGCAGTTTTACAAAGAATCTGAAACGAGACAAATTTAAAAACTGATATCCGAAATAGAACTAGGAGACCAAAAACCCAGTCAACTGCTACGAAAAATGAAGGAGCTAGCAAGAGGTAAAATAGAAGCAGACACACTAAAAATATTATGGTAAGGACACCTGCCTGCACCTGTAAGAGCAGTCCTCACAGTGACGTCAGCGAAAGATTTGGAAGAACTAGCCGTCATAGCAGACAAAGTAATGGAGACCCACCAAACTGTACAGGTCAGCGAAGTAGCCCGCAGCAACCAAGAAAGTTCAACAGCTTTCGATATAGCCACAATTAAGGCAGAAATAGCGAAAATAAACCTAAAGATGAAAAGTGGACAGAAGACAGACAGAAGAGAAATGGACAGAGGAAGAAGAAAGCATAGAAGCAGGAGCGGAAACAGAAACTCTGCGCAGTCACGTTCTCGATCAAGGCCACGAAGAACGCCCGAAAGTACAAACTGGTTGTGCCCGTATCACTTCAAGTTCAGGAACAGAGCTACGAAATGCGTAGCGCCCTGCACCTGGAAGACGAAGACAGCACTAACCAATCCGGAAAACTGAGAAGACTACAACCGGTAGCGGGAGGTTGTGCAGTCAAGGACCACCGCCTTATTGTAAGTGACCAAAAATCTAATATCAGATTTCTCATAGATTCTGGTGCATGTATTTCTGTAATTCCTAAATACATAGTTAAGAACAAAATAGAATAAGATTATAATTGTAATTTTAAGCTATATGCCGCAAACGAGTCAGTAATAAAAACGTATGGTACTAAAAATTTCGCAGACCTTTCTCCTGGGCATTTGTAGTATGTAATGTCAAACAACCTATACTTGGTGTAGATTTTCTTAACCATCACAAGCTAATCGACATCAGTGGTCGTTGTTTATTAGACACAACAACCAATCTGGCAATCAAAGGAACGATCGTAAACCATTATGCGTCAGCAATATCGACATTACGGGTTGATCATCCCATATATAATCTATTAACTAAATATCCAGAGATTCTCAAACCTATGTCATTTAAAGAGGCTCTGAAGCACGCTGTTTATCATTATATCGACACAACAGGTCCTCCTATTTAATGTAAACATAGACCATTAGCTAATGGTATCGCTCGGGAGCTCCCGAGCGATATCGAATAGCTAAGGAAGAATTTAGAACTATGTTAGAGGCAGGTATATGCAGACCGTCTAAATCAGCCTGGGCTAGTCCCTTACACTTAGTGCCCAAAAAAGATGGACAGTTCCGTCCATGCGGAGATTACCGTGTACTTAATGCAGTTACAAAACCGGATAGGTATCCGATACCCCGCGTACAAGATTTTACATATGTATTTCTTAGCAGGAAAAACAGTGTTCTCGGAAATTGATATAAAAAAGCCTATCATTATGTATTGATTAATCCGGACGATATTTGTAAGACCGCCATTACTACACCATTCGGATTATATGAATTTGAACGCATGACCTTTGGGTTGAGAAACGCTGCTCAACCTTCCAACGCTTCACGACTAACACAGTCTTATCAGGCTTAGACTTCGTATACTGTTACGTGGATGATATTTTAGTGAGTTCTGTAGACAGCAAACTTCATTCCGAACAATTAGAACAAATATTTCAACGGTTAAGCGAGTATGGTATCACAATCAATTTAGAAAAATGTATGTTCAATGCTACCAGTATAGAATTCTAAGGCTATAAGGTATCTACTGCTGGCATCAGACCATTAGACTCGAAAGTACAGGCAATCATTGACTACCCAAAACCGCTAAACATCAGCCAGCTGCGTAAATTTTTAGGCATGATCAACTTTTATAGAAATCATTTGCCTAGAGCAAAAGAATACTTAGACATATTAAATAAATACATTCATAAGGCTAAAAAAAACGATATTACTATACCGATGGCGCGAGGAAGAGCGGACACGAGGCTCGAAACTGGTGCAGCGCCAAATCGAGCGGCGCCGAGAGGAGCTCCGTCAGGTCTTGGTGGTGAAATGGCGGCAAAGGCTTCTGCGCCTTACTACCGTCGAGGCGATCCGGCCAGTACTCGACGACTGGCTCGGGAGGAAGCACGGCTCCCTGTCGTTTAGGGTGACGCAGGTGCTGTCAGGGCACGGCTGCTTCAGCAAGTACCTGTGCCGCATAGAGAGGGAGCCGGACGCCCGGTGCCACCACTGCGTCCATTGCGGGGAGGACACGGCGCAACACACGCTCCCCGAGTGTGTAGCTTGGGAGGAGCAGCGCCGTGTCCTCAGAAATGAAGTAGGAGGCGATCTGTCGCTGTCGGCGGACATGGTGGACAGCGCAGAGTCGTGGGACGCGGTGGTGTCTTTCTGCGAGGACGTGATGTCGCAGAAAGAAACTGCGGAACGGGAGAGGGAGATCTTGACTTCCTTTCCCAACCGCAGACGGCGCACCGGACGCAGGAGACGGGCCGACAACTCCCTCTTCCGGCCCCCATGAAGGGGTCCAGGGGTGAAGGACTTGGAAAAGTCCCCGCCCCCGATTCGATGGACTCGAGTCGAAGGCGCGCGCGAGAGTCGGCGCGTGCGGGGGACGGACGGGTCGGCACCATAGAATAAAGAAAAGGGAAGTAGGCCATCTTCTTCCCAATCCGAGATATAATTGCCTACTGTCTTAGGGTTGTCACTTTTAGTTTAGGCGCAGCTTACATACCAAGATTGTTTACCTTTAGTTAACCACATAAATCGATAGACCATAGTCAATTACTTATTTTGAATTACGATTTTATAACTGTAAGTAGGTAGGTACTTAGTATATACCTACCTACAATACTGAGAAATCGACTTAACCATAACTAAAAGTAAACAAAACAATGGGGGCAAATCAATTGCCAGATCAAAAGTACCTACTTAATACATTCTAGTAGGAAATTGGACCTACCTACCTACTTCATTTGTGATACTGATAGAAAACTAACACAAACAAAAAATAATCTCATCATCAAGTACAAATTATATTAAGTGTCCAGATTATCTTTCCTGTTCAATAGGTAATCTGAACAGAGACAGTCCTGGAATCGATGAATTAACTTATTAATTCACTATTAATTAACTAACTAACTACATATGTTCTTCTACGATTATCAGACATTTTTTATTCATTTAACAGTGCCGAAAAGTGAAGCGCGCGAACCTCGTGCAGTGTTAGCCCTGCCTGGCGCACTGAGAAACGGGTCGAGATTTTGTTAAAGTGTGCGTGCGTCGACGCATAGATACTATGGCGCAGACATAAAAGCCGCGCGCGGTGCATTTGTATGAAGATAACCTACTTCGATCTCTTTGGCTAGATTTGGTGTTACATTGTTCTCGCACAGTCAAACCAATAAAACTGTAACTGAAGAATTGTATTGTGCAACTGATTGGAAAAGAGTAACCTATGGAGTTTCCTGCTCGTTCTTCTCCATAGGAATCTACACCTTGGAATGAGCAAATAGCTTCATTTTTAAATTTCTATTGCTGACGTTCAAAAGTTGGTCTAATTGAAATAAATGATTTTTGACTTTTTGACTTTTGACTTTTGACTTTCCCTTTTCTTTATACTATGCCGGCACTGTAATGCGGGGCTGCGGATGAATTTGGACTCGTGCGGCCCCGCGCGCACGTGCGAGGAGACACTGGGGTGGTTTTAGCCGGTAAGAGTCCAGCACACCCCTCCACATTTCCCCAGGCGGAGGCAGTCCATGAGGATTTCCCCCCATTAAAAAAAATAAAAAGGTTAGTTTAGTATTGTAGCAATAAACAGTCATGTAAAGTAGTCGGAAAGTTAGTATTTTAGGCAGTAGATTTAATATTTTCAGTAACCACAATTCTTCTTTTCTTGTCGGAGATTTTATTACTAACCATTAAAATAAATACTTCAGTTTAGAATGCATTAGAAATTTTCAGTAAAGTTAGTTCGTTTGTTTGTTCTTCTACTCATTTTGTATCACTTTTTACACTGCAGTTTCAAAACATCCACAAGTGATTGTATGCCAATAACATTACTTAGCCAATGACGGTGTAAGCTAATGTAAATAACCGAGTTGCGTCCATATGAAGACTGCTTCTTACCTTTGGGTACATTTTTATAATTTATTTGTTTAAGGATAAAAGAAGTATGTACGGTATTGGTGAACCGCCTTATCAGCGTTCAATGTTGGTGGTGTACTGGAAAACCCGGATACCAGCTTTCGAAAACTTATGTGACTATGACATATTGTGACTTCCTGGGTATACAATGTCAGGAAGATAAATTTTCAGACGATGGTAAGTTTTTTATTATTAATTCGTTTTTAGCTTGATATGTTTGTTCCTTTGGGTCAACTTTAGTGATTGCAATTTCACCCCCTTTCTGACAACATATCCGTCGTATATTTGGTACACACTCTTATTCTAAGTAGATGATCATCTAATATAATTAATTTTAATTTCATCTACTGCTATTAGTCTATCGTGCATAACAAACGTATCGCAGAAAAGAGCTCACTGAAGCCATGTTTAACATCTATACTTTTAATACATACATTTGTAGAGAGGTCAATTCTGTACATGAAACATATTTCCAAAATAAATGTCAGGGTTTTAATTAGTGATCTATAATAATGCAAAAAATGCAATCAGTATAATTTTTGTCTGTCTGTCTGTCTGTCCCTTATAGCAATAGCAAAAAAACAAAACTAAGAAGCAAAAAATAACTATTATTAGTACTGATAGGTTACCCACCCACTGATAGGTTAGAAGTCGGTGCCATAAGTTCCATACAAAATTATTAATTAAAACCTTAATAGGTACCTAATTCACAATTTTGTGGACAGTTACATCATTATGATATGAGCTTATGGCACCGACTTCTAACCTATCAGTGGGTGGGTAACTTATCAGTACTAATAATAGTTAGTTTTTGCTTTTTAGTTTTGACTTTTTGTTTGTTATTAATTTGTGGTTTTTTGAAGTCAGTTTTTTAAACGCAGTTTTTATTTTATTATTTTATCATTTTCAGTGTACAGCATATACATACATATACCCGTTTTGTTACTTATTATCTACATAGGTGCAAAGTTCTAATCAATGCAAATTATACAAGCCCAAACACAAGGTAGTTACAGTATATCGTTCAGGAGTTCCCTTAACAATTACACTTCTTCATCATCAGACCCTCAATGACAGCCCCACTTTATCTAGGTGTAAAGTCCTCATCAATACAAATTAATCAAGCCCAAACACAAGGTAGTTAATATAAACCGCTGAGGAGTTCCCTCGACTGTCTATCGGCTCCATCATCAGGTCGACTCCAGACCCTTATCAAATTATAGTGTTTAAAAATCCTAATTGAAAAACTAGCAGTGTCTAGGATTTTAACGTTTGTAAGGTTGGGTGTTTGGATGAGTGTAATGAAACCAACGAGCTCCGAGAATACACTGAATATATTGAATATAGGATGCTTAATATATACCTTACGACTACTACACCACACGTTAATTTTTAATAATTGATAAGAACTTTACACTTAGATGGAGTATGATTCTTATTAAAGGTCTGATGATGAAGTAATATGATAGCTAAGTGAATTCCTTAACGGTTAACAGTAGCTACCTGGTGTTTGGGCATGAACAATAATTGGTATTGATGAGACCTTTACACCTATGTGGACACGTAGTATACCGGGTCTGTATATTTAGTCTTGTATTAAATTAAAAAGTAAAAATATAAAAAAACCGACTTCAAAACCCCAAAACTAAAAATAAACAAGGGGTGAAAACTAGAAAAACCAAAAATTGACGATTATTAGTCATACGTAATGATAAATTAGGAGAACCCACTTGTTGGTAGGTTAGAAGTGGGTTCCACAAGCCCATAACAAAATTTTACTTATTATCTAAGTAGTTACCAGATCTCCTCGTCTCAAATAAGATTTAGAATATGAAGTTAGCAAATCTTTACAGCAATTATGTTTGTTAATCTTGGCAAGTGCAAGAAGGACGACGAAATGATGAAGCCGGCGTGGGACCCTCGGCAAGCAGTCAGCAGAATGCAGTGGTACCTGACTAGCTTTGATAAGCAAGAGGATCCATTCAAGACAACGGCTGCTCCGTCAACGACCAAAAAGCCTAAAAAAAAGCCATAAAATTTCGTATTCAAATAGAAAAAAAATATTTTTCTTCAAAACTATGGGATCTTTAGGCAGCGATGTAATACATGATTATTCTGCCTTTTAACACCAAATAAACATTTTATTTATTTAGGAACATAACGTTGGGAGGATGTCTTGACTACTAACTTCAATATTTGGAATCTCTCGAGTTCCTTCCGATCTATCAAAAAACTAATTACACAGGGTTGAATATTAATATTAATCCTTTAATATTTCATGCAGTGACCGTCTTGGATTATATTTTGACAGCACCATCACGGACAAAAAACACGCATGACGATTATGTCAACAACTGCTTACAGCCACTATGCTTTGGGGGTAGGGGGGAGGGTTTAGGTTTGGATTATGGCACTTTGAGCCGGAGCCCGGCAACCGAACTGGTTGCCGGGTCTTCCGTGGCTCCGTATCAGCATCAGCCCTATCGGTCTCATCTGTGGTGGTTAGATAGCTCTGAGACGCGCGCGTCGAACGGGACACACCGTACGCTCCGGTAGTGATCTCCAAAGCTCGGAGTGTCTCTCGCGACGGCTGGGGCGTGAGGAATTTCATTCACACACACACCCCTCGCAGTGATAACACCTGGGCGTTTCCTCCCGCCCAATCTGAAACAGGAACCTACCGAAACTTCCTTGCCCAGTAAGCACCTGTGTCAGGCGGTAGGTGAGGACAGGGAACTTATCGCTGCAATGACGAGCGAACCCAGCCCTCGGCTGCGACAGTCGTTGCTGTCATTCCGCCATCAGATCGCATCAGAGCTCATTCCGCCACGCACTAATCAGGCGCGGCAGCGGAGTTTCGCCCCGGCGACGTTACTTCGCGAGTAAACAAAACACGCGCGAATATGGGTAATGTAAAAAAGATTCACGAGAATGCAAATAAAACGTAGTGGCCAAATGCGGGGGAATTGCACAACTTAATTTCTCCTAGTCCTTTCTATCATCGTACTACAGAACAATCGGCGAAGTATTACCGATTCATGGTGGATATTCCACCCACTCGCCCGAAGCACTTCGCCTCAAGTTTCCTTGTGCGAACTGCTAAGGAGGAAAATTCTTTGCCAGAGTCTGTGTTTCCTGAAGGGTATACCTGGATGTCTTCAAGGGTCGAGAGAACAGGTTGCTTATAGTCAGATATGCTCCATTGTATATATCCATTGGCCACATCATCGCTTACTACCAGGCGAGATAGTAGCCAAACGTCGGCCCAACAAAGCCAGCCTGTTCTGTTACCCAACCCGCTATCAAATATTGACTGAGCAGGGAATCTTAATTCCGCTCAATGTTTGCGATCAACAGACCGACCACAACTGTTTAAAATGCAGGTTTCCCTCGGAGCCAGTTTGGATCAACAACAATTTATCTTTAAGGAATTTGTTACCGAGATCTGTTGCACTCAGCCTCATGGAAATCATTCCCACTGAGACTGTTTACTGTGTGTAACTGTTTAATGTAGATTGATATAAAATACATTTGTAAAAATTATTATATAATTTAAATTCTGCTGCATTGAACGTAGTAAACGCATTTCTATCATTAGGAAGGCGGGATCTGTAACTTTAAGGAAGTTATACAAAAATAAGAGTAACAAGAAGAATGTGGCAGCAGCAGCATGCAGGATACATAAAGCCAAGCACACCAGAAGTATGAATGTGTTTAAACGTAAAACAATCAAACTAAGGCCTCAGAAAAATTAAATATACATGCATTGTTTATATTTGTTTGGCCGTCGTTTGACCTCTATCTCGCCTGGTGGTAAGCGATGATTCAGTCTACGGTGGAGCACGCACGCGATGGTTGCTTATGGGACGCCATAAGCAACTTATTCACTCGAGCCTTAAAGACGGCCAGGTTATACCCTTCGTTATGTATTTGCGATCATCTTCCGTTGATATATGTAGTTACATGTAGCTGTTATACGTTATTAATTGAAATAGATAAACACTTTTCACTTACCCTCAGCCAAAAAATAGGGCGATATAAATTCACTCGCAGCTTTCACTTAGAAAAACAAGGAAACTCAACATAAATAAGGGGAAACGCTTTCTTAACAATATATCATTCGCGCGACCCGCGGCTGTTAGGCACCTCGTCAAAACACAACACTTTTAAAGACAAACGCTGCGAACAAAAACAAACATCCAGTACATCAGAAAGCTATTTGTTATGTCCAAGTATTTGATAAAAGCGATGCAAATATATATTTTGCTAACCATCGACGGGTTCTTTGCATACATTTCAGTTATGGTGAGACATTTGTCAATGGATAACGCAGTGCCGGCGATATTCATGGTTACGACTGTAACAAGCGGGCGACGACGCGGCGGGCGGCCGTATCGACGCGTGCATACATCTCGTACGATGCCGAATTTACGATAAATATGATATACGACTGTTGTAAGATTGTGTATTTCCTATTGGTGTTAAAGATAGCTGCCATTATTGCCTCCTAATATGCTCTGTATGATAATGCGGCGACTCGGTCGGGGTACGCAGTTAGAGGTAATACCTGTTCTGTTTTGATTTTGTACTATGAAATGACTTTTAGTATGGAAAAAACTAAACTATCTGGACGTACGCTGCCTAAATAGGAGTTCTATAAAAAATGTCTTCATATTATTCAACGACCCACAGTTTCGGAGATATAGCGATTTAAAAAATTTTAATAGTTGTAATAATCGTCATAAAACGCACACGTCTCCGCGCCACCTATGAGGTAGTGTATTTACAAAAAAAGTAAATAAAATGTGGATGACAAGACAGAGCGGATCATTTTCGACAGGCTCCTCATTTGGAAACCATGTTAATCCCGGATTATAGAGACACTGAGATTTGTTCGTGAAATAATGAGATACACCGGCACCCTCCACTCAATGTCTTTATCTCATCTGTGACGCCGAACAATAAACTGATATTGTTTTTACGCTTTTGTATTTTACATATTTGATGACTAGCTTTTGCCTGCAGCTTCGCACGCATTAATAAGGGATGATGACGGCGTATAAAGATTAAACAAATATTGAGTAAGTACATACATCAGTCAAGTACCTAATGAAAAATATAAGACACGATTTTTTTCATTTTTCGTATTAAAAGATAATACTTACATAAAACGACTTCAAGTTTTGGAGGAGAGCATTTCATTCATTTCGTCGTTTCTACATATAAAATTTACAGAGCAATGACGTCACACGATATTTCAAACCAATATAATATTGAAAGTATTTGTTTATGTAAGAAAATAAACAATACGTTACGAGACGGACGTTAAAACAAAAATTATTCATCTACTCTATTCCCTATCACCCTATCTCCTTATTTGAAAAAAAAAAACCGCATCAAAATGCCTTGCGTAGCTTTAAAGATCTTAAGTTTAGATCTTTTATATTTGTTTACATTCTAAACAAACATAGGGACAGACAGCGGAAAGCGACTTTGTTTTATACTATGTAGTGATTTTGTATAGGAAAATGTATGAACTATTGAGATTTTCAATTCTAGAAAATTCGCGACAGTTGCCGCTTCGCTGCGCAGGTCAGCGAGCACCATTCAGTGACTAGAAGTACACGACTACACGACTGCACTCTCTGAACCGAAGGACGGCAGACCGTTTCGGCTGGAGAGAGATCAGGCGACGGACCAACGACTTTTCGTGCCTGTACCTCGTACAGGGGTGAAACACAGCCAATCTCCCTGACTCCGCGTTAATAATAGTCATTTTACTCAGAAAATGCCATTATCACTTTTTAGCTGCGTCAATCCGCGACACTAGACAGCAGTCGGTCCCCCAACAACTACGCTAACCGTGCAGTCACCGGATATTCAACTAGCGCGGTATATAACGTGGAGAGGTAGTGCTACAGGAACCGATGTCCTTTTCACAGCGAGCCGAATTATTGAGCTCCCCTCGGAAATTGCATATTAGTGAAGTAGCGACATACCTACGTAACCCAGTACATACATACACTATACTGGTAATTTGAAGCGACCTGCTTTCTCCTGTTGCCATCCTCATTCCACTCTGCCGTTTGACCAGATTGACCATTAAATACATAGTTGCTCTCGACTCCTATCCGAAGGACTTAACGGGTTGCCGGGGCTCTGGCTCGACGTGCAGGAGAAGGAACGGTGTGGTTCTTAGTCAGTAAGAGTCTGACACCTAGGCGAGAGAAACATTTGATGATTCCCCCCCCCCCTCTTAAAATTATTTTACTTTATTAACTGACTTCAAAAAGGAGGTTCCCAGCTTGACCCGTACGTACGTACGTACGTATGTATGTATGTGTGCTATTATCTTGCGATTGGAAAAGTATATCAATTAACCGCTTTCAAAAAAAGAGGGGATTTAAGCCGGTTTTCTTTAAACGTAGTTTATAAAATATTTAACTTTATGATGTATAAGAATTTTCATAATTAAATGTGAAGTTTCTCGCTGTAGCATCTGTACATTACATATACAACTAGTATTTTAAACGAAGAGGCTAAACATATGACGTTCGTGTGGAGTTGGTTGGCTACTTACTTTGTATTGAATACCAGCTACTACCACGCGGTTACACCCGCTCTGCTCGGTGCCTTTTGATTGTAGCGTAATGTTTTATACCCTATAGCTTTTGTCGATAAATGGACTATCGAATACAAAAAGAATTTTTCAAATTGGACCAGTAGTTCCTTAGATTATCGAGTTGAAACAAACGAAGTCTTCAGCTATATGTATGAATCTGCTTAAGTATGTTTAAAAAAATCAAGTCAGCTTTGTATTTTACTAATGACATAGATTTTAGTTCGTGCAAGTCAGGTATACGAGTGTTGCCAAAGAATTTCACGATTGTCACACTACACTAAACATGTAAACATGTGTATTTATAAACTGCAAATACCTACTTGAGGAAATGCGAGAACCATTGTGGGTGCCAATGTATAGGAATGAAATAGGTCGACGTGATGGCGAGCAGCACATACTGCATCGTGTTTGCATCGAATGTATAAGTGTTGGAGTGTTAGTATACTAAAGATAGTGGATGGGACCTGCTAATCCTTATCCTAGGTGCAACCTGGATGAACAGCTGTAATCGATAGTGAGCATTATTCCATATATTAATATAATTCAATATCAAACATAATTCCAAACTTTGTTCTGTGTTTCTGTGTTGTTTCTAATCCTGTCATTGTGTTGCTAAACAAAATATTAGGAAAGTTCCAGTATAGGAGTTCAAAATAGGGATGATGACAGGGTATGAAAATTAAAAATCTATTTAGTCCGTCAGTTAGGTAATGAAAAAATTTTAGACATGTATTTTTTTATTTTGTTGTATAATAAAATTATATATAGATATTAAGAATCAAAGTTTAGGAGTGGGGGCTAAAACGTCATTTCTACTTATAAAATGAACATAGAAGTGATGTTACGCGACATTTCAAATCAATATATCGTCAAAAGTATTCGTTTCTGTAAAAAAAATAAAAAATACGTGTGTAATATTTTAAAATGATCTACTAGACGGACATTAAAATAAAAATTAGTCATCTACCCTATTCACTCTGCACTACAACCTTTCTTCAAGAAAGGGGTTTATTAAGTGTCGGCAAGGCGTATGTATACCCCAAGTGTTGCAAGCGTTCATAGGTATCACTGAGAACAATTAGATTTAGTTGTTATGTAAATAGTACTTACAGTCGTATACCTACACAATTTGTGGGAGACCAATACACAAATAGAGAATAAATAGTCGGGCAAAACATGACGTAATTGATAAAATTTGTGTGGGTACCCAAAAATATTTTTAAATCAGAGTTCAAGGCCCACGGCGGTATTACGTAAAAATATTATTGTAATGATAACCCAAGTACATACGTACGGTTATCATTATGTATGTACATGTTTACGAATAAAATATTTCAGTGTATAGAATACGTTGATCTTGTATCACAATGGGTCGGCTCACACCAGAACAAAAGCAATTTTACAAAGATTATGGATACATAGTCTTGAAAGCAGTGCTTCCTGAGGACGAACTAAATGCTATCAGTGAGGAGTACGACAAGTTGTTCGCGAGGAAGAATCAGGACAAGATGGAGAGCTCCTGGGTAGGCAGTGACGCGGACGACAGGAGGAGCAATGCGACGCAAACAGTAAGTAAATACTCAATACTTTATCTCCACCTCAAAGCATTTACTTGATAACTTGATCGTTTTGGCAAATAAACCGATCTTCATCTTTATGTTCTTTTAACAAGTTTTTTTTAAAAAAGAAGATGAAATCGCTGTTTGCTCAGCAGATACAAAAAAACAAATCCGGCAAACTTTCTTGGTGAATTTTGCCTCGACAGACACAAATGAAATACTATGCGTTTTCACGGACTAACACTAGATTTCGAATGTCTTCTTTTAGTTAGTTACTTTGAATGTTACTTGCGATTGCACCTCATTTCAAAATCATTAAAACTCATAAATTTACTGCATGAGCGGGAACAAAATATGTTACAAAGACTTGACCAACTGAAGTAATTGGCATCTCTCGAGTTCTACCAAAAAGTTAATTATACAGGGCTGAATACTATTATCCTTGAAAACCCATAGTATTTTTAATTGTAAAATTATGCGTTGCTGTTGCTGCCTAAAATAATTTAAGTAGGCACATCTCTAACTGTGTCCAGGTGAAAGGGATCCATAACCTGCAGTACCACCACGCAGTGTTCAATACATTCCTGTTCAACAAGGACCTGTTAGATGCGCTGGAGGATATCATGGAAACCAGCGACATCGTACTGCATCACACCAAGGCCCACTTGAAACCTCCCGAGAAGGGCGCCGCGTATCCTATGCATCAGGTAAGTTACTTTTTCTTGCTTTTCAATTCATCGTAATACACAATCAACCCCACAATAATACAAACGCTATAGGGTACTATTTGTATTGGTTAGTCGTACTCTTACTTTGTGTCATTATGTACTCAATTCCAAAGTGGAGTACAACGCTAATACCCTCTATATGTGCGCAGGACTATCACTACTTCCCATACAAGCACGACTCCATGGTAGCTGCCTTCCTGCACCTAGACGCCGCGGGGCCCGACAACGGGGGCCTGTTCGTGTACCCTGGCTCGCACAGACTAGGCCCCCAGGAAGACGTTGGCGCCAGCGAGTCAAACTTCCATTACGTTGATCAAGTAATGCGCTAAGAATTACGAGACATTCAGTAACTTCTTTGTGTAAATGAAACTAGCGGCAATTTAGTATCTAGAAAGTAGAATCGTATTTAATTCACAAGAAGCGTGATATTATATTAAGTTTACCTCTATAAAGTAATAGATAAGTATGTAAAATGGCTACTACTTTTTGCTCACCAGATGACGCTTTTGTAGAGTGACTCGTTGGCCGAGTGGTCGCAAGTGCGACTGCCGGGCAAGGGGTCTCAGGTTCGATTCCCGGGTCGGGCAAAGTATTACTGGTTTTTTTTTTTTAAAAACTCAGTAGTAGCACGGAGTCTGGAAATGTGCCCGGTATATGGCAATAAGCTCACCCCCTATTACATGGGACTCATAACATAAATAGTGAAAAGTGGGTGTTACATTGTACAGTGGCATTAAGTGCCGAAATGTGCACCTCTGCCTACCCCTTCGGGGATGTAAAAATAAAATCAATATCTTATTATGTTGACACTAGTTAAATTTCTTTTTGACTAGCCGAACTCTAGTAGCTCTCATTAACACGTATGTGTTTCAGACAAGGTTCCCGTTTGAAGAAGCGACACCGGTGGTGTGCGAGCGTGGTGACGTGGTGGTGTTCTCGTACCTGCTGGTGCACGGCAGCCCGAGCAACACGAGCCCGCGGCCGCGCCGCATGCTGCTGCTGCAGGCGGCCGCCGCGTGGGACGAGCCGCTCGGCCGCCAGCCCGCGCGCCCCGGCCAGGGCTGGCTGCTCCGAGGAACCAACCTCAACAGAGACGCCAGCATATCTAACAGATTTGAAAATAACTAAAGAGATGACAATTTCGCTTGTAAACATTTTGTCACTTTAACACAATTTCATCTACGGGTCATAAATATTAGAATCTAAATCAGCTAATGGTATGCAGGCAGTTACGTAAGTCAGACACACCATACAACTAATCCACTCGCAAAAACTACTTGTATACCTACGACGTTACTCAATGCACTGGCGCTGGCGCTGGCGCTGAGCGACTGGGCTACCAGTGACAGGATGCGAGCGGTACAACTAGAATCTGTTACTGACGTATGTTGGGCGGCGAGGCGCGGTCGACGTGACTGCTGCCCGTATAATGTAACTATTTTCGCAGAAAAACGTACGGGAAAGTACTGTCCGTAATCAGTATTCTATCAACGAAGGTGAGGCTGCCTACTTGTGGTTTTTGGTCATTTTGGCTAATGAGCATTATAAACGTGATGAAACGAACTCATCCATCATTTGCACACTGAACAAGGGCCACGGTGAGATAGAGCTGAGCTGTGGGCGTCGCATCTTGCCCGTAAGTGTAATACGTAGATTTCACTCAATAATGGCATTCACTAAACTGCAGTTATAGTTAATGAACTATAGTGCCACTTGTCAGGGCAAGGTCTGAGGTCTGGTGTCCCGACAAAAACGACTAATGTCCAACTGTCCAGGTTCGCTGTAAGACCATATAACACTTTACTAATTGACTAGTGTTCCTATAGCACCTACAGCTAAACATTCATCATCCTCTATTTTGGATAACTTCCATTGAAACAACCAGTATGAATGCAGTTGCCATTCTTTAGGATATATTTCTATGTTCCCCTATGTTTTGTCAGTTTCTGAATAAAAGCCTATCTACATTTGCCATGATTCAAAAAATACATCTACCAGATTTACGTAAAATTATAAATAATAATGGTAAAAATGGATTAATGAAGCACTAAACAAATTGAGTGCTGAAATCATTTCAAGTTAGATTTTAATCTGGTTGTCGTAAGTAATCTAGTTTTAGCGTAAAAAAATCTATAAGAATATAAAGATGACACCAAAAATCATACGACGCCGTTAGCTATCGTTTTAATATTAATCAAAGTTTTCTTATAATGCAAGTTTTACTAAGTTGTACAACATATCTTAGCCTGGCTGATGAGACTACATATTTAATCTTATTATAGTGCTTAGAGTGAAGTCTAGAGTTCGTTGTGATAGGCGTTGTAGTCGAGTGAATAAATAATGTACGGCGGGAGAGATCCCAACACTGGTGTAGTCAAAGAGCTCGTGACAGATTCCTTTCAACATGTTATTTTTGATACAGAGATTATATGCTTAGAGTTATTTTTATAGGCGTTTTTTTAAAACTATTCATTGTTTTGTTTCAAGTCATTAATTATTTTAGTAAAATTATCATAATCTTTAAATATGGACAGGAGAAAAGGAAGACATATCAAGTAATATGATAATGGATGACAAGGGCAAGTGGTATAAGCACTGACCCCCAATAGAACTTGTGTATGAAAGAGAAGAAGACAAATATTGTTATTCTTATTTCCTAATAGTGTCGAGCTTCGTTCTTTCAAAGCGAAGAAAAGAACTTGTACACACAAGTTATGCTTATGGGCTCACCTTTTATAATACTAGCTTCTGCCAGCGGCTTTATCCACATCCTGGTGGGATAAAAGTAAATGGCCTGTATGTTATTTCATACCACAATTTACCTATTAATTATTATGTTTACGGCTTACTCACGTAACTGTTTGATGAGGAACTCGGTTAGTTTAAGCCTTTGACTGCCAATAGAAAATTGTTGAAGGCAAATTCATCGCTAAAGTCGGTCACCGGTGACCCTCGCGGCGTTTAATGAGTTAAGTCACTTGTCTCACGAACGTTGTAATTAAACATAAACTTCATAATTATGTTCTAAATTTCATCTCGATGATGTGAAGGAATCACACAAAAAACAAACATACTTTCGCATTTATAATAGAAGTAAGACTTAAGTCAAGTCCATAAACTGTGGAACTATTCTCTGTTATGTCTGTAGGCCAAACACATATATGTATAAGCTATAAGCTTTTTTTAAGGAGGGAAAATCATCGAATACCTGTTCCCGCCTGGGTGAGGCGGGAGGGAGTGTCAGACTCTTACTGACTAAAAACCACCCCGTTCCTTATAGTGTAAGTCGAGCCGGAGCCCCGGTAACCCGTTCGGGTCTCCGCGACATAAGCTATAAGCTAAGACAGATTTTCTCAAGCAAATTGTCGTCGAATAAATAAGTGTGTGTCTGTCTGGTCAAACAAAGACAAACAATAGTTAAATGTCACTGGCAGTCTGCTTACTCGAACATTTGCTAAAATCAAATTTTACACTTCTACAAGAGAATCGTAAATATACTGACAGATGTTGTGCGCGAAGGATTCGTGAAGTAGTACAAAATTAAATGATCTAGTGACTTATTCGACTTATTTGCCATTTTATCCTATCGAATTATATGACTGCCTCGTTGGCCGATGGGTCGCAAGTGCGACTGCAGGGCAAGGGGTTTCGGGTTTGATTCCCAGGTCAGCCAAAGTTTGGAACTGTGACATGTGGCAATAAGCTCACCCCCAATTATATGGGAATCATAACATAAATGGTGAAAAGTGGGTGTTACATTGTGGCATTAAGTGCCATATTGTGCAACTCTGTCTACCCCTTTGGGGATAAAATGCTTGATGTTAAGTATGTTTATGTTATGTTGAATCATATTATAAATGCTCGGTTTTAAAACATTTCACACATGTAACGAGCTCCTAGCCTAGAAGCGATAAAGCTCAAGTGGGTTCAGAATGCGCTCATTAATCATCGCGTCGGTTGTCACACCACACCGCATCGTGCCGCACCGTGCGACTCTCTCACTCACTACACCTCTATTATACTACTACATAACAACGTTTACACATAAAACAAATAAATAAATACATAACTGTTTATTTTTGTGTAAAAAGCCAGATTATAAAATAACGAACACAACACGTGTGTGTAATGTAACACTTTGCTAGAGTTACAGTACTAAAGATACTAATTCAATAATAACATCAGATCAGAGAAGCAAGTGGCTGGTGGTCAATTAACATGGTGGAATTGGAAAGAACATCGTCTGGCTGATTGTAAAATAAACTTTTTCTGAAGCCAACAACTTTAATGGAGCCTACCGTATTAGCTCAACTTATGGGGCTAGTGTGAGCCTTTCGTTCTTAGTCTTAGAACGAATTAGTTAATGTCACGCCATTAGACGTTCAATATTTAACAACTGCTTTGATTTTTTTATGGAATAAGCCGGTAAACGAGTATACGGATCACCTGATCGCAATCGGCGTCGCCTATGGATATCAGGAACATCAGAGGCGTTAGAAGTGCGTTACCAACCTTTTGGAGATTAGGAACTTGAGGATTGTTAGGGTTGTTGTTTCACGTTGGTTTTCTGCTCAGCCGTGGTATCACTCCGGTCGAGCCGGCCCATTCGTGCCGAAGCATGGCTCTCTCACACTTTCATTTGGACATAGGTACTTGGTACAAAAAACCCCTTGCCGACCTGGTTATTAAAATTTGAACTTGATTAAAAATGTAACAAAACATTTGTAACATTACCGAACTGAATGTTGTTTGTGTAGCCACTGTATTTAGATGTTAACACATAATAATAGAGGTTAGTCTTTATGACCTCGGGGGTTCTTCCTTAATTAGACTTTTAAAATACTAACACAATTGCCTGCCTCGAAGGCTGGAACCGAAATAAATTGAATAAATAAATAAGTTAAACAACACTAGCAATTTACAGTCATTTTCTAAGACCATACAAACTGGATGTAGTTACGTAGGTATAATTTCTTCAAATAACATTTGCTGTAAAGTGACGAAGGCATATGTTTAGTGAGAAACTATAAATTTAATCAATAACTAAGTATTCTTCTGCGTTGCCTTAATCTGTAAGGAGTTCTACCACATTATAATTATATGAGCCCTCATTGTCTTTCTGTATGCCAGGCGCCAGGCATAGTTTAGCAATGTTTCAGGCGCTCGACCTCACCAGTTCACGTTGTCAGGCATGTTGATACAATTTAGCTAAATGACGTAGCCAGCCTATTAACACGCATCATCTTAGCTGGCAAACAAAAGATTGTTTAACGAGAACATAAAACATCAAGCAACAGAAGGTTCAAGTCGTAAACTCCTCGATAATAAAACATATGGAAGTTTTCTTTGGCTGGAGAAAATGTTAATTACAGTTCGTCAGGTGTACTGAGACTACTAAGAGTAAAGTTATTAGGGTGCGTCTACATCTCCGTATTAGTGAATGCTCCGTAAATGCTCAGCTCGCGAGCCGCTCGTGAGCCGCCCCCGAGCTGTGCGCGTAACTTTAGAATGATTATTCATATAAACCTTGTATAAGTTGAGCACCAAACCATTGCCGTGACTGCATTCACATTCGCCATATGTGGACGCACCCTTAGGTTACACCATTGGTATGTAATTCTCACTTTATACTATTATGGTACAACTGTTTTTTTTATGGCATAAGCCGGTAAACGAGCAGACGGATCACCTGGTGGTAAGCAATCGGCGTCGCCCATGGACACCTGGAATACCAGAGGCGTTACAAGTGCGTTACCGGCTTTTTGGGGATTAGGAGTTTGAGGATCGTTGGGGATTCAGGGATTGGGGAGATTGGGGAAGGGGAAGGTAATTGGGCCTCCGGTAACCTCACTCACACGACGAAACACAACGCAAGCGTTGCTTTACGTCGGTTTTCTGTGAGGCCGTGGTATCACTCCGGTCGAGCCGGCCCATTCGTGCCGAAGCATGGCTCTCCCACACTTGAACTGTGTGACTGTACAAGTTTTTTACAACAAAGGGGTGCTCATGGCTTATACACCGAGTGAAATGCCTGACTACATGACAGTTTATTGTAGGTTTCTCTTAGTAAAGCTAAAGCATAAGAAGAATAGAAAAAACTGTTATAAGCTTGTTAGCAGTTATATTAG